AATGTTCTTCTCGGATATCTTTTACTGGATGGAAATTAATCACCCGATGATCAATATGGTTACTACCCATCTGGCTTGACTTTCTTATATCGAAAGTTTAATTAGTATTTCTTATATCGAAGGTTTCTTATATCAAGAGTTACTTATATTTAAAATTTATAAACAAATTTGTTTATAATATACTACAGTAGATTGTGTTTCTTTAATAAATGTTTATTTTTTTAAAAAATTTTTTATCATCTTTATATTCAAAAAAGTTTCAAAAATGGCTTGTAACTTAAATTTTTTTACAAAATTTTATAATGTGCCGTTAATTGTTGTAAATGTTAAATTCACAAATTCGCGTGATAAGAAGTCTACAAGATCAAAAATGTAAATAAATATAATAATCTTAAAAAAAAAAAAAAAAGGCGAAATGATAGTAAAATAAATTTTATATCACGTCACAGATAAAAATAAAAAGGCTATACACTTTCAATCAATATTTATATAAGATAATGTTACAAATGATAAATGATAGCATAGGAATGTTCAAAAAAAATGTCTTTATATACAAGGGAATTCTATATTGCTTTTAATTCTCGTTCTTTCTTGACCCAATCCATCATCCCTTGTCCAATGTTAGTGACAGCTGAATCAACTGTTTCTACCACACGTTGTCTTAACTCCAAGGCTACAGGTTCATATTTTGTATATATCTCTATTAAAAATGCTCTTGATGCGTAAATTTGATTCGACATGACTTCTAAAATTAATGGTATAAACCATTGTAGATATGCAGTCACAAAATTATAAATAGTGGTATAAAGAATAGTAATTCGCTCCTGTACAGTTGAGATGATAATATTGAAGTAAGGTAACATTGCATAATACGCTGATTCAGAAACTTTGAAAACTATGGATATAGACTGTCGTGAAAATTGTAATGCGTGGATCAACATAGTGTTCGCTAGTGAAATTAACCATTTTGCAAATCGTAACAATGCGAAGATGAACACCAATATAACAGTTGTGTAAAAGAAGCTTAAAGTTGTGACAACGGGCCGTAATAATAGTTTAAAGGCTTTCCATACTGGAACAATGATATTTAGTAGAAATTCCTTAACGTGTTTGTACATTGAGTTTGTGAGATGTTTAACAACCGGAATGATATTGATGACGGGTAAGATGCCGGCGTAATATATCCAGGATGAATATACAATAATGTCCATACAGGTAACATAAAAATTTTGAATGATTTCTAGACCACATCTTTTAATACGTTTGACACAAATTGGTAACGCTAGCTTCGACATTTCACGAAGTCGAGAGAGATAAGATACCAATGAATTATATAAACTAGGTAATATGGATATGGAATATTCAACTACAAGACGGAATGTTTTGTTGGAACCGACCCCATAAACAACGTTAAAGATATTATTAATGCCAGGTAGGACAACCCGAATATATAGGAATCGTCCAATAGTTGAATACTGTTCACATACTTTATGATACAGGAATATTGCAGAGTGGTAAATGAAATGAACTAAAGGAATAAGTATGCGATTCCATAGTGTCATAGAAATCGACCACCCTAAAATAAGAAGATCTCTCACGTCTTCAGCAATGTCTCTAATAAGGAAGCAAGCACAATACCATGAAATTCTTGCAAGATATTTAATTTTTGAAGCGATCCATATTCCTGGCT